AAAGTTGAAAATAGAGCTACCCTATGACCCAGCAATTGCACTACTGGGTATTTACTCCAAAGATACAAATGTAGTGATCCGATGGGGCACCTGCACCCCAGTGTTTATAGCAGCAATGTCCACAATAGCCAAGCTATGGAAAGAGCCTAGATGTCCATCAGTGGATGAATGAATAAAGAAAATGTGGGGTATATATACAATGGAATATGATGCAGCCATCAAAAAACGAATCTTGCTATTTGCAACGACGTGAATGGAACTAGAGGGTATATTATGCTAAGCGAAATAAGTCAATCAGAGAAAGACAATTATCATATGATCTCACTGATATGAAGAATTTGAGAAACAAGACAGAGGATCACAGGGAAGGGAGGGAAAAATGAAGACGAAACCAGAGAGGGAGACAAAGTATAAGAGACTCTTAATCTCAGGAAACAAACTGAGGGTTACTGGAGTGAAGGAGGGTGGGAGGGATGGGGTGGCTGGGTGATGGACATTCGGGAGCGTATGTGCTATGGTGAGTGCTGTGAATTGTGTAAGACTGATGAATCACAGACCTGTACCCCCGAAACAAATAATACATTATATGTTAATTTAAAAAATAAAAAAAAATTAAAGAATAAAAATTAAAAATAGGCATATTTAAAAAAAAAATTAAGTGGGGGCGCTTGGGTGGCTCGGTCAGTAGAGCTTGTGACTCTTGATCTCAAGGTCATGAGTTCAAGCCCCACGTTGTGTGTGGAGCCTACTTAATTAAAAAAAAGAACAGCGTGAAGAAAACATAATGGAGCAGCTAAATCTGGCAGAAATCAAAATTACAAAAAAGAGAACCAAAAACATCTAGTGAGATCTCCTGGATTCCTGAGCTTACTACTATATAGCTAGCGACCAATATCTTTAACAGCAAGAACCATGCTGCTATAGATCTTTTGTATTTCCTGCTACATTATGGTTTAGTGCCTAGCACACAGCAGATACAATAAGTGAACAAACATCCAAATAAGTGAACAAGTGAACAAAATCCAAGAGAATCATGTTTACATCTGTTTGGGAAACTAAAGTACCCAGTATTAATCTTCTTCATTCCTAGGACCTTAAGATAGTGAATTCTGCCCAAAATATAAGACCTCAATGCAGGAGGCTTTCTCCTTTCTACTCACTAAAGTTACTTAGAAAACCAGAAGCTCAGGGGCACCTGAGTGGCTCAGTCGTTAAGCGTCTGCCTTGGGTTCAGGTCATGATCCCGGGGTCCTGGGATTGAGCCCCGCATCGGGCTCCCTGCTCGGCGGGAAGCCTGCTTCTCCCTCTCCCACTCCCCCTGCTTG